TGAAATTGGGGAGTGTGTGCCACTGTCCTGAGCGCCCAGGGATGGCTGGGTGGGTGCCCAGCTCCTCCTCAGCAGCACAAGAATAAGAAAGGTTTCGTGTTTGGCCATCACAAAAAAGGAGGAATTTGCCACAGCTTCCACACAGGAATTGATTTTTTTGCACTTAAACCCTTGGAACTGCAATCCAAGGCAACATCCCAAACATATCCAATCTCTGTGTTTCTGTGCAACCCACTGAGCCACAGAAATGGCAGCAGATCAAGCCATTTATCACCTAAAATCTGATTTTTGAATCTTGTTTTTGCTTTTCCCAACCAATTCCTCTTCTGGCACTGGGTCCTCCACCACCTCTGCTTTGTTCTCAGCTGTTGGCTGTGCAGCCAGGGATGCTCCAGCAGGAGTTTGGGATGTGCCTGTCAGCTGGCTCTTTGATCTCTCCATTCCTCTTCTTTTTAAGGATGATTTCCCACTCTTCCTGACCTAACTCGCAGTGGCTTTTATGAGCTTTCAGAGGGAAAAAGTAAAACAAAGGTGGCACTTTGGCAAATGCCCCAGATGATGTTAATTAAGTTCTCCCCCTCACTAGGATGTGTTCCCAGGCACTTTAGGAATCTGTAAATGAGCTTTGGTTCTGTAGGGGCACAGGCACCATCCCCACCCTGGCACAGTTCCCTCCTGAGCTGCTTTGTTGTGCTCCAGCTGCTGCCCCCGGGTCCTTCCTGCCATCCTGAGGGCTCCTGCCAGGGATGCTGACACCTCAACACTCTTTGAAAGCCTCAGGGTCCCCCGTGCCCTGGTTCCAGTGCTGGCACAGCCTGGCTGGGGTGGGCAGGGGATGCCAGGGCTGCAGGATGCAGCTCAGTGCTGGATGCCCAGCCTGGGCTCTCCCAGCTCTGCCCCATCCTCCTGCTCATGTGGAATGTGTTTGGAGATTGTTTACCCACAGGTGATTGTTCCATTGCATTCTGCTGGGAGTTGTTTTCACTCTTTGGCCAATCAGGGCCAAGCTGTGTCAGGACTCTGGAGAGAGTCAGGAGTTTTCATTATTATCTTTTTAGCATTCTGTAAGAACTCTTTCTGTATTCTTCAGTATAGTTAGTATAGTATTCTTTAATATAATATAGTATTATAAAGTAATAAATTGGCCTTGTGAGAACATGGAGTCAGATTCATCATTCCTGCCTTTGTCAGGGCATTCCCTGCAAATACAATTCTCTCTCCAAGGACTTTTCCTGGGGAAGGCAGTGAGAACCTCTGAGAAGAAGAGAAAACAATTCTTATCTGTACTTGCTGCTCCTGTTGTTTGGCACACGTGGAATGTGTTATGGAGATTTTTTACCCGAAGTGATTTGTTAGTTGGACACCAGTGAGGGTTGTTTTGATTCCTTGGCCAGTTGGGTCAAAGCTGTGTCCTGGCTGTCTCTGCAGACAGTCATGGGTTTTTCTTTAGTATCTCTTTAGTATAGTTATAGTATAGTATCAGTGTAATATAATATAGCAATAAATCAATTGCTCATCCTTCTAAATCATGGAGTCAGAGCACATTATTCCTGTGTTGAGGGCTCCCAGAAACAATCCATGATATACATTTCTTATTCCCAGAAACTATCCATCCTATACTTTTCTCATTCCCAGAAACTGTACATCCTATACATTTCTTATTCACAGAAACCATACATCTTATACATTTCTTATTCCCAGAATATTATCCATATCTTATATCTTATCCATCCTGGCTCACCTTATCCTGATTGTGCTGTTGAGAGCATCTCCCAGGGTAGATATTCAGGATTATCTCCTCCCTGGTTTATTCCCACACTGCACAGGTCCATAAGTGAGCAATTAAGCTGTGAGGATGGAGGAAGGGAGCAGAGGATGAAATCACTGGCCTGGGTGCAGAAGATTGGATTAAAGGCTCTGCCTGTGCTGCTTCTTGGTTTAAATTGTCTCCTGTTGCTCGTGCTCCAACTGCATCCATGGAGCTGATGTCATGGGAATTTTAAGGTCGTGAAAATGTGGGAACAGGTGTCCTATAGAATAAATACTCAGCTCCTCAGGTCCTGGCTGGCTTCTGCCTCCTGCCATCCAAGATCCCAGCAGGTTTTTTTCCTGATCTCCAGCACCTCCTGCTGCTGGAGTCTGGCCCTTTCCGCCCAGCAATGCTGAGCCTGCTCTTCCCTGAGGAAAGGACAGGGATTTATTCTGGGAGTGCTCCCTGCACTGCCACGGCCACATCCTGCTCAGCTCTGAGTGCAATGGCGCAGCTGCTTCAGAAAAATCTGCCTTTCCTTGGGCTGGTTCATGGTGGCTGAGCACTGCTGAATGCTTTGCAGCCTGCTGTCAAGAAACTGCAAAAAAAGTCTCCTATTAGCAGGAAACTGAGGAAAAGGGGTCCTGTTATCAAAAAGCTGAGGGAAAAGGGCTCCTCTTATCAAAAGAGTGAGGAAAAAAGGCTCCTGTTATCAAGAAACTCAGGAGAAAGGGCTCCTGTTATCAAGAAACTGAGGAAAAAGGGCTCCTGTTATAAAAACACTGAGCAAAAAGGGCTTGTGCTGTTAAGAAACTAAGGAAAAAGGGCTCCTGTTTTTAAGAAATGGAGGGGAAAATGCTGTTATCAAAAAAAAAAAAAAAAAAGAGGAAAAAGGGCTCTTGTTAGTGAGAAACTAAGCAGAAAGGGCTCTGTTACCAAAAGACTGAGGAAAAAGGGCTCCTGTTATCAGGAAACTGAGGAGAAATGGCTTCTGTTATCAGGAAACTGAGGAGAAAGGGCTCCTGTTATTGGGAAATTGAGGATAAAGGGCTCCTGTTATAAAAACACTTAGCAAAAAGGGCTCTTGGTGTCAAGAAACTGAGGAAAAGGGGCTCCTGTTATCAGGAAACTGAGGAAAAAGGGCTCCTGTTATCAGAAAATTGAGGAGAAAAGGCTCCTGTTAGCAAGAAACTGAGGAAAAGGGGCTCTTGTTAGCAAGAAAATGGGAAGAGAAAAGTTCATGGTGTCAAGAAAATGAGAAAAAAGGGCTCCCGGAGTCAGGAAACTGAGGGAAGAGGGCTCCTGTTATCAAAAAACTGAGCAAAAAGGGCTCTTGTTAGCAAGAAACTAAGCCTAAAAGGCTCCTGGTGTCAAGAAACTGAGGAAAATGGGCTCTTGTTAGCAAGAAAATGGGAAAAAAAGAGCTCCTGGTGTCAAGAAAATGAGAAAAAAGGGCTCCCATTATCAGGACACTGAGGGAAAAGGGCTCCTGTTATCAGGAAACTGAGGAAAAAAGGGCTCATGATGTCAAAAAGCAGAGGGAAAAGGGTTCCTGCTATCAGGAAACTGAAGGAAAAGGGTTTCTGTTATCAGGAAAGTGAGGGAAGAGAGCCAGATTCTGATGGTCACTGTGAGTGGTGCAGAGGATGGAGGCTGGTGGGAGGGTTTGGCCTTGGCTTGGGTTACAATCAGAGTGGTTTAGGCCGGAAAAGCCCCTCAGGATCATGAAACACCACTTTGAGATGAGCACAGGCCCAAATAAAGGAGGATTTTGCTGGAGCATCCCAGAAGTGCTGCAGGAATTGGTGAAGGTGGCTGTGCTGTGGGGCTGAGCTGGCTTTGTGACTTCTCACCATTGTCACTTGTGGACACTGGGACAATATTCCTCCCCTTGCTGTGCCCTAAACCAGGGAATCCATTTCATTTTCTGTGCAGAACATCACATTTTTAGGACCCCTTCTGCTCTGGGGGCTGGATTTCATGGTGTGTCAGACCCACACCCTGCTCTCTGCATCTTCCCCTCTGAGCAAAAATTATTTTGCACACAGGGAAGAAACTCTAAGCAGAAACTGCTTCAGGTGTTGTGAAACACCAGACATCAAACTGAGGGATTTGTGGGTTTATTATGGGAGGTTCTGGCAGGTAATTTCCAGCATAACTGAGGGATTTAGCTCCCTCTCTCTGTCTCCTTTTTCTGCTTTCCTGGGGCACAGGGTGCAGCTCTTTAGTGCCTGATGGCGTCCAGTGGCCTCATAATTGGGGATTTTCCTACAGCAGCCCTGCAGTTTGTGGGAATTAATTCCTTCCAGTGAACACAATCCACAATGTGATCACAGAGTTTAAAGCAGCTCCAATATTTGCCACCACACTTAGCCATGCTTTGGAAAGAGGAATTTGCATTTAATCTGGTTATATATATATTTTTTAAGCAGCTCCAATATTTGTTGGTTCTACACCAGACTTAGCCATGCTTTGGAAAGAGGAATTTGCATTTAATCTGGTTTTATTTTTTTTTTAAAGCAGCTCCAATGTTTGCTGATCTTACACCAAACTTAGCCATGCTTTGGATAGAGGAATTTGAATTTAATCTGAATTTTTTTTTAAGCAGCTCCAGTATTTGCTGGTTCTACACCAGACTTAGCCATACTTTGGAAGGAGGAATTTGCATTTATTCTGGATTTTTTTCTTTAAAGCAGCTCCAATATTTGCTGGTTTTACACCATGTGGGATTCACATTCTCTGAATCTGAGAGAAGCAGAGAAAAGAATGATCAAAACAATTCTTATCTCAATTGCTTCTCTCAGGTTCAGAGAATGTGAATCCCACAACACCACACTTAGCCATGCTTTGGAAAGAGGAATTTGCATTTAATCTGGATTTCTTGTTTAAAGCAGCTCCAATATTTGCTGGTTTTGCACCACACAGCCATGCTTTGGGGAAAGAGGGATTTGCATTTAATCTGGTTTTATATATTTTTTAAGGAGCTCCAATATTTGCTGGTTCTACACCGGACTTAGCCGTGCTTTGGAAAGAGGAATTTGCATTTAATCTGGATTTTTTGTTTAAAGCAGCTCCAATATTTGCTGGTTGTACACCACACTTAGCCATGCTTTGGAAAGAGGAATTTGAATTTAATCTGTAATTTTGTTTAAAGCACCTCCGATATTTGCTGATTTTACACCACACTTAGCCATGCTTTGGAAAGAGGAATTTGCATTTAATCTGGATTGTTTTTCCTGTTTCCCTGCAGGATTCTGGCCACGGCTGGGACGGATTTTGACCTGCGGACCCTGCGAGCCGTGCGGGTGCTGCGGCCCCTGAAGCTCGTGTCAGGAATCCCAAGTGAGTGTCCTGCCCACCTTGTGTCCCAGCCCAAGGGCTCTGTAGGTTTGGGGTGTTACTGCTTTTCTCAGCAATATTTTCTCCCCCTGTCTCTTTGGGGTCTGTGCCTCCTGCCCTCAGCAGGGTCTGGTTGTTTCTCATCCCATTTTGTGCTGATTTCACCTCCCAAATCTGCAGGTGAGGGGCAGGGATTTGTCCAAGGATCATTTTGTCTTTGGGGGTGAAGGAATTCTCTGGGGACAGCAGATCTGAGAGCTGAATTTTGCAGCTTTCAGGCTTTTCAGCTTGGATCTTCTGATGGTTTTGATCAGCTGAGCATCCTGAGCTGGGCATCTGACCCTTTTAGTAAGGGGGAGATGGGGCCACCATTTGTGGTATTTTCAGGGTCCCCCAGATGGAGGAAGAATTGAGAATCTGGCTCCATGTTCTTAGAAGGCTAATTTATTATTTTATGTTACTATATTGTATAAAAGAATACTGTACTAAAACTGTGCTAAAGAATAGAGGAAGGATACAGACAGAAGGCTTAACAAGACACTAATTAAAAACTTGTGACTCTCCAGAGCCCTGACAGAGCTGGATGGTGATTCATCATTAAGTTAAAACAATTCACATGTTGGATAAACAATCTCCAACCACATTCTAAAGCAGCAAAACACAGGAGAAGCAAATGAGATAATAATTGTTTTCCTTTTTCTCTGAGGCTTCTCAGATTCCCAGGAGAAGAAATCCTGGCAAAGGGATTTTTCCAGAAAATGTGACAGTGACAGGGAGAAAATCAGAAAGAGCAGGTGGGATCTGGCCTTGCCTACTCAATTTATGCATTTAATGTGTGAACCTGAGGGGTCTGAATGCTGAGTAGGAGCTGCATCATGCCCTGAAACCATCCCAGTGCCCACACCGTGGCTTTCTGCCTTTTCCTGTCACAGCCACAGCTGCTCTGCCCCCAGCAGGGATCACTTCCAGGAGCTCTTTCATTCCTGGATGTGGAACAGAGAGGTTTGTACCCTCCAGCAGGAGCTGCTGGAAGGAGCTGCAGCACTGTGGGATGCTCTGGTGTTCTCTGGATTCACCTGGGGGCAAGACAGCACCAACAATTCCTGAAATCAGCTTCCATTCATGGGCAGGGCTTCAATCTGAATTCCCAGCCAGGAGAGATCCTCGGAAAGGTGGCATTTGTTAGCAGGGTCTCCAACAAGGAGATGGTGCTGGATGTTTTTCCCTGGACCTTTTGCCTGTGCCGGGTGTGGCAATGGCAGGCAGGAGTGAGGTGGCCCCTCAGAGCTGTCCCTGTCCTGCTGTGGGACACGTGTCCCACCTGGAGATGTGTCCTGGACCAGCACAACACCTCCCCACAATAATTGCTCTCAGGTTTTTAGTGATGTGGTGAAACCTGAATATTTTATAGGTTTTTTTCCCTGTCATAAATGCATAACCTTGATGTGCAACCACCCACAAACACAGAATATTCTTCCCTTTTATTCCCTCGGTGTTTTTCCTGTCAAAGAGACCTTGCTGCTTTTTTAAATGTCTGTGCTCATCTCCCATCTCACTGGTGCTGTACAAGGTGGCAAGACAAGGACGATCCTTCACCCCTCAGCCCTCAGGACAGGCCACCAGGGCAGCTGCAGGGTTTTGTGTGCAGGTTTTTGTGTGAATGAAAACAATAATTATCTTGCTGGTCCTGTGTTTGCTGCTTTGGAATGTGCCTTGGGCATTGCTTGCCAACAGGTGAATGTTTGATTGGTTCCATGTGAATTGTTTTTAAATAATGATCAATCACAGCCAGCTGTGTCACTCTGAGGAGTCAGCCATGAGTTTTTCGTTATCATTCTTGTTAAGCCTTCTGTCTGTATCCTTTCTGTATTCTTTAGTATTGTTTTAGTTTTAGCAGGACGTTATCAGCCACCTCCATCTCCTTATCTCCCTGCCTTTAACTGAAACGAGTGCCAGGGCTGGTGACAAAGCTGTGGATGGGCAGCCCTGGGTGTTTGTGCAGAGCAGGGTGTGACAGGGACAGCAGTGTCCCCTATGGGCTGTGGGGGGAGAGGAGCTCCTGAGCAGCCCCCAGTCCCTGGCACAGGGATCAAATCCATCCCTGGGCTTTGCTTCCCTCCTCCACTTCCAAGCTCAGTGACAAGATCAGCTCCTGGGACATTTCTCTTTGCCCTCACTCTGAGCTCCTCAGGACAGGTTTCACTGCAGTCCAGACCCTGCCTGATCACTCCCAGCACCACCATAATCCTCCTTCCAGGGAAACGCTTCAGCCTCGTGTCTATAGACACAAATTGGAATTTATTTTGGCACATATCTGCAGGAGACCCTGGTGCAGCTAAATAATTGTATTAGCTGAGGTTTAATCTTCTGCTGTGGTCTCAGTTCCATTTCAGTGCAGTCAGATAATAACAGTAATAACAATTCAGCACCAATTTCTTAATTACCACTGAGTCCAGCCACGGTGTGAATTTGGTGGAATAAAGCTGACACTTCCAGCTTGTCTGGAAGCTTCCATGTCTGGACATTTCCAGCTGTCTAAAACTGACATGTCCAGCATGTGGAGAAGAGGGAATAAATTTATGTCCCACTGCTCTACACCAGACTGCCTTGCTTGGCCCTAAGGTGTCCTAGATAGGGTTCAAAGCTGCACCACAACTGCCCCAAGGACCTGGCTCAGCTCCAGGCTGTGTCTCAGGGCTCCAGCAGCTTCAGGAAAAACTCTCTGAAGCTTAACAAAGCACTGGCTCTGTCACCTGAAGAAAAGACACCACAAAAGGAGAACCCCCAGCTGTCTCTCCTGCTCTCATGGCTGGAAATTGTTTTATAGCACCCTGGGAAGAGCAGCATTGCTTGGTGTTGCCAACCCTCAGCCCCTCTCTCCCACCTTCTCTCCACTCCCAAGGCCCCATTTTTGTTCCCTCCCTGAGGTGTTTTTGTGTTTCCACAGGCCTGCAGGTTGTCCTCAAGTCCATCATGAAGGCCATGGTGCCCTTGCTGCAGATTGGGCTGCTCCTCTTCTTCGCCATCGTGATGTTCGCCATCATTGGGCTGGAGTTTTACATGGGCAAGTTCCACAAAACCTGCTTTTCCAACGAGACAGGTGAGCTCTGCCCTCTGGACCTTCCCCTCCTGCTTCTGTGCTGCTTTTCCTTTTGCCTCATTCCCTGCATTCTCTCCCTCTTTACCTACATATTCTGAGAATTACACAGAATTTTGTGCCCACCCTACATGGACTGGGACAGATTCTCCTCTCTCTGATGCCACAGTGCTGCTCCCAAGAGTGACGTGAAAGTCTTTAGGGCCTCCTATCCCAAAAGAATTTTCTCATAGCAGAAGCACAGAACCAAATTCCTGTTGTCTCTTATGATTAATGGTGTCTGTCTAATTTTCCTTGGGTTTTGCTTCATGCACATTGAGTTTCCTGAGGAGCTTTCTGGGGAAACTTTGGTGTGGAGTAGTAAAAGAGTGAAATGTCTGGGAGCAACCAAAAAATAAAAGGGCAATAGGTGGGAGGCAGGGAGTCCTTTGATAGAGAAAGGATAAAAATGACCTTCAGAGAAGGGAAATTGGGCACTGAAAAGTAAATGATGTGTCTGTCTGGGAGTGAGTGATAGACCCCAGAAGATGGAAGTAGAGAAGGATGATCCTAGAGATTCTTGGCTGGGAACAGCTGTGTCAAATAATGGACTCATGGAATGCTTTGGGCTGGGAGGGACCTTAAAGACCATCTTGTTCCACCCCATTCCTTTATAGTGGTGTTAATATGTGTTTATTATCTGATAACACGCATTAAAATGTTGTTCTTGTCTGCAGACCATTGCATTTTAAGGTGCAATCGACTTTCTTTAAAACACAGCCTTGTATTTTCAGTCATTATCACTAATAGGTCTTAATATTGATTTATTTCCACGCAATGCAATGGTAATAAAAGAACCCTGCCAAATCTCTGGGCATCCCTCACAGTCCTTTCTGATGGGAGCACTTTAATACACTCAGTGTACACAGAGATTTGCAAAGGGAATTCTTGCTCATATTCCTGTGGAATGCTGGAATAACATAAAGCAGGTTGTGAAGGAGTTGGGAGTTGTGAGAAAATTCTGGCAATTCTGGAGGAAAGGAGGTTTCGGACTGGATTTGTGGGAGGGAGAAGTCCCTTTGTGAGGGCTGTGGCAGTGGGGACAGTGATAGCAGTGACAGGATGGGTGTGGAGGGAGCAGCAGAGTCCGTGCTGAGGTGGAGGGGAGGATGAATCCTGAGCAGGCTGGGGCCTGCCAGGAGCATTTTCAGGTCTGTTAGACGGCAAACAAGGCAGGGGATGTTTGTGCATCCCTTGTGAGCAGGAGGCAGCTGCAGGCAGAGCCCGAGGCTCTCCCTCACTGCTGACACCGGATGAGGGAGGATTTTCACGAGGGAGGATTTTCTCAAAAATGCCAACATCCCCCCCAGAGCTGTGTGTGCTCCCCACACGCTCATCTCTGCCATCAGCACTGACCAAGAGAGTCTGGGCCAGGTGTGGGGACCCAGGACAGGTTTTTGTCATGGCTAATGTCATGTGCAAGCTCCTCTTGGCTGGCTGGGTGCATTCCAGCTGGAATTGGGAGCATGGCTGGAGCTCTGCTGCCCGGGCTGCATTTCAGCTCTGCTACCTGGATTGCATTTCAGCTCTGCTGCCTGAGCTGCATTTAATCTCTGCTGCCTGAGCTGCTTTTCAGCAGCTGCTGGCTCCTTGTGAGCTGTGGCTTGCTGCAGTCGAGACAGTCACAATACAAAGCAACACACTCAATTTTCAGAAGGCTTCAAGCTGTTTTTATTCTAGCCTGCGTGCTTTTTATACATTCTTACAAAGCTCATCAGTTTACACTTTACTCATTGGTCACAGAAACAAACAAAGTGCTCATTGGAACAGACAGCTGCAGGTTTCTCTTATTTCTCCTTCTTTCTTTCTTGGTTTCTGTGTCAACAACCTTGGTAGAAAATTCTTCCAGAGTTAAACATGGATCTGATCAAACTTCTCTCTGTAAAACCTCTTGCACTGTGGCAACAACAACGTGTGCCTTTAAAAACCCTTTAATGCTTCCCTAATCCCAGCTCTCTAAACAGGGACATTGCTTGGGATATTTGCTTATTGTATTTGTGGGGGTTCCCAGACAAAGGAAGGAATTATGAATCTGACATCATGTTCTTAGAAGGCTAATTTATTATACTATATTATGTTAAATATAATATAGTATAATACTATATTAATACTATATTATAAATTAATATTATATTATAAATAATAATTATTAATTATTATTAATTATAAATAATTAATACTATATTATAAACTTTATAATACTATATTATGTTAAAGAATACTATATAAACTATACTAAAGCCCCTCTCTAGGCAGGGGAAGGGGCTCTGGGGGTGCTGAGCTGGCTCTGGGTGAGTTCTGAGCATCCCTTCCAGCTGCCAGGCAGGAAATGGTGTTTCTGGAAAGGAGAGGGGGGTGAGGTTTCCTGGCTCTGCATCCCCTGGGAGCAGAGCAGCAGAACAACCCACAAAGCTTTTGCAAACCTAAGTGCTCCTCATCCCACAGAGGTGCATTAAGGAGCCTGGGCAGAGACCACGGGCTCCAAACCAGCCTGAGGGTGGAAATGTGAACTCATTAAAGAGATGCCTCTGGTAGGGGGTGGAAAATGGGAGGAGGAAAAGCTGCTTGTGCTTTTTTCTGTTCCAAATCCCCAAAGTGAGCAAACCCCTGAGATTTTTCCTGGAATCAGGAGCCAGAGGGACCAACTGTGCATCATGAGGGCACCAAGCAGAGGTGTCAGCAGTGAGTGTTGCTCTGCTGAGCCAATAGCCTGGGTAGGTCAGTGATGAACTGCAGCACAAAGGGGTGCTGGGCACCAAAATATGGCCAAAGGGTTATCCAAGGCCTTTCCCTGTCAGCCTGACTGTTCTGAGCTGGAAACATGGCATTATTGTAATAAAAATGGGTAAACCTCAGTGGTAGTTTTGCTCCAGTCTTGTTTCCCTCTCTGCATCCTCCTTGCTGTCCTGCTCTGCTGACACAGGATTATTTTTAAGTGCCTGACCCAGCCCAAATGCCCCAAAGCTGCTCCAGGACAGAAGCACACCATATTTATTTCCCATTTTTCCTTGAGATTCCCCCTTTCTCTGTCTTCTCCAGCCATGAGGAGTAAGGACCAGTTCTGGTCACAGTTTTAAAAAAGAAAAAATCCCCCACTCACCCCTTTGTGGTAGATGTGCAGTGCATTTTCAGAGAATTCCCTGGCAGCAAAAGGCCAAACCGGGATGAAACTGGATCCTCTTTTAATGCACACTCTCAAACGGTCAGCAGGAGCCAGCTTTGGCATTTTCTCCTCTCACCAAGCCCTTGTGAGAGCCTGTGGTGACCCATCTGGGAGCTGGAGGTTTGCCCTGCAAAGAGGCATTGAGTCAACAGGAAAGTGTCACATATATATTTATATATATCTACACGCGCTTCTGTCCTGCTCCACCGTGACAATTTTGCTTTCCTCCTGCAGGCTTTGATCTGTGGAATGATTATTACTAATTTTTGTTAGTGCTGCTCCTGCTTTTCCCCCTGGTGGAATTGGACTTTGTGCTGTTTGATTCTCCATAAGGTGTCCCTTTAAAAACCCTTTAATGCTTCCCCAGTCCTAGCTCTCCAAACAGGGACATTGCTTGGGATATTTGCTTATTGTATTTGTGGGGTTCCCAGATGAAGGAAGGAATGGTCAATCTGACTCCATGTTCTTAGAAGGCTGATTTATTATTTTTTGATACTATATCATATTAAAGAATACTATACTAAACTATACTAAAGAATACAGAAAGGATTCTTACAGAAGGCTAAAAATATAATAATGAAAACTTGTGACTCTTTCCAGAGTCCTGACACAGCTTGGCCCTGATTGGCCAGTAAGTCAAAAACAATTCACATGAAACCAATTAAACAATCACCTGTTGGATAAACAATCTCCAAACACAAATTCCAAAGCAGCAAAACACAGGAGAAGCAAATAAGATAATTATTGTTTTCCTTTTCCTCTGGGGCTTCTCAACTTCCCAGGAGAAGAATCCTGGGCAAAGGGGTTTTTCCAAAAAATGTGACAGTGACATTTGCTTGCTCTGAAAACCCAGCACTGGAGTTTTCCAGCCTGCAGCACTTCCCAGCTGAGCCTGGAAGGTGCTGGGATGGTCCTGGCCATTCCTGGTGCTCCATCCCTGACAGATTTACCCACCTTGGCCTCCTCTGGGTCTGCAGCGAAGCTCAGCAGAGAGGCACCATCCCACATGGATCCTTTCCTTCTGTTTGGAGCAGAAATGTGGAGCTTCTGGAGGAGCTGGAGTCCTTCAGTGCTGCCTTGGGGTGACACCAGGGGCTCCTCATGCAGCTGTGCTCAAACATCTGTACCAGGGCAATTCTGGGGCAGTGCACATGCCCAAACTGGCATTAGTGCACAAAGTGCCCTTTTGCTTTAATGTTAGAGAGCAAATATTTAGCACTTTGAGGGTGTTTGAAGTGTGTGCTGTTCCCAAAGCCCTGCTTTTACCACACTGTTGGTTTTATTTTTTGTGGTGTTGCTTTATTTTGGTTTTTTTTTTTGTTTTTGTTTTGGGTTTTTTGTGTGTTTTTTTCATGCTGATCTTAGACCATTTCCAGGCCTCTCAGATGTACTGGGCTATCACAAGCCAGAAATTATTTGCAGTTTGGAAACCTCTTCTGCCAGGTAACAAGTGGCAGAACAAGAAAAAAATGGCCTCAAGTTCTCCAGGAGAGTTTTAAGCTGGAGATTTGGGGGAATTTCCTCACTGCAGGGGTGGTCAGGCATTGGAAGGGGCTGCCCAGGGTGGAGTCCCCATCCCTGGAAGTGCCCAAAAACGTGTGGATGTGGAACTTGGGGACATGGGTTAGTGCTGCTGGGTTGATGGTTGCACTTGGTGATCTTAGAGGTCTTTTCCAACCTAAACAATTCCGCCATGTAAGATGGCAAAATAGGAAATTTGGGCACTGCAGGGATGGCTCTGCTCCACCCCTCACTGACCTACCTCCCACAGCCCAGCAGTGTGGAAATGATCACAGGGGCACAATGACTTTTCCATGTCCATAGCGGCACAAAGAAACCCAAAATGTGAATTTAATCCTTGCAGTGGTGCCAGGAGGATGCAGCAGCACCAGACAGGAACTTCTCAGGATGGTTCCAGCAGGAATTTTCAGGATGGTTTCAATTAGGAACTTCTCAGGCTGGTTCCAGCAAGCAGGAACTTTTTAGGATGATTCCAAGTAGGAACTTTCAGGATGTTTCCAAGAAGCAGGAACTTTTTAAGACGGTTCCAAGCAGGAAATTTTTCGGATGGTTCCAAGCAGGAATGTTTTAGGATAGTTCCAAGTAGGAACTTTTTAGGATGGTTCAAACAAGCAGGAACTCCTCAGGATGGTTCCAACAAGCAGGAACTCCTCAGGATGGTTCCAAGCAGGAACTCCTCAGGATGGTTTCAAGCAGGAACTTTTTACAATAGTTTCAATCAGGAACTTTTTAGGATGGTTCCAACAAGGAGGAACTTTTTAGGATAGTTCCAAGCAGGAACTTTTTAGGATGGTTTCAATCAGGAACTTTTTAGGATGGTTCCAACAAGGAGGAACTTTTCAGAATGGTTCCAAGTAGGAACTTTGCAGGATGGTTCCAGCAAGCGGGAACTCCTCAGGGTAGCTCCAATCAGTAACTTCTCTTCCCTCCCTGCAGGTGAGGAGGTGGGGGATTTTCCCTGTGGAGAGGAGCCTCCTGCCAGGCAGTGTGAGAGCGGGACCACGTGCAGGGAGTACTGGCAGGGCCCCAACTATGGCATCACCAACTTTGACAACATCCTCTTCGCCGTGCTCACCGTCTTCCAGTGCATCACCATGGAGGGCTGGACCGACATCCTCTACAACGTGAGTGCTCTGCTGGGGCTGGGGGTGTTGGGTGGGAAGAGATGGTTCTGGAATTAAAAAAGTTATTTAATTTGTGTGGTTTTTACCTCCTGAACACCTGCTTTTGAGGAGGATTGTTCCTGTTTTCCTGAGGGTCTGTTTCTGGTTGAGTCTGAGGTGCTTTGAGGGTCTAGAGTTGCTCAGCTATGGGATGAGTAGGAGCAGGAGGATGAGCAGCACCAGACAGGAAATTCTCAGGATGGTTTCAGTCAGGAACTGCTCAGAATGGCTCCAATCCAGAACTCTTCAGGATGGTTTCAGTCAGAAATTTCTCAGGTTGGTTTCAGTGAGAAAACTGAAACCTGGGTGGTGGCAGTGCAGGAGCTGGTGTCACCCCAAGGTGCTCCTGTGCTCTGCTGGGTGGGTAGGAGCAGGTTCTCACAATGCCCCAAAGAAATTCCAAATTGTACAAAATTGGGTGGCAAAAGCACCAACTCGTTCATATTTTGTACCTGGAGGTTTCCTCTCCTGACTGGGTGATCAAACTTGTAACACTGAGCTCCAGGACTGGTTTTGCTTAGTCCAGTCCAGTTTTACAAAGCCCTATCACTCACCTTCACCCCTGGCATGACTCTGTAGGCTGCAGAGAAGATGCTCCAGGCTGAATTCCTGCCTCCTGCAAGGCAGGACCACTACTGGCACAACCTCTTGGCCGTTCTGTTTTGTTATTCCCAGTTTTACAAAGAGCAGGATGATTTCCCCCAGCCTCTGCTGGCACCCATTTGAGGGTGCAGTTTATGTGGAAAAATCCCTAAGTTGGGCATTACTGATGCCCTCAGCCCATTTCTCTGGCTGGAGGGATGATGCTGCGCTCAGTTTTCTTCATCACAGACTCCAGAGCCCTGCTGGCCCCTTTCAGTCCTTCCTGGAAGGGTTTTTGTAGCAACAGGAAAGGATTATCCTCAGCCACAGTGAATTGCCAGGTACAATTCTGCTGTGTTTGGAGCCAATAAATGTGATTTATTCTCTTCTCCCTTCCTTGCTCAGTTCCTGCATTTATTCCCAGTCTCTGACCACTTAAAGCCATCTCTAGAAGATTTCTCCCCTCACCCTAAAGCCTCACCACACCACCAGATTCCCCCCTTCTCATTCAGCATTCCTGCTCCTTCCTCCTGGTGCCAAGTGTTGTAAGAAAAGCCCATTAGCATCCTGGCTGGGATTGATTAATCAATATGTGGTGCATGAGATCATCTTCTCCCCACCTGCCTCCTGTACCACACGCAAAACCCTGAGCTTACTATGGGGGTATTGATTTTGGGGGCTAATTGAAGCTGTTGTAGCTTCATTCTGGATGCCCATGAATTGGGAGCAGGTGCCTGGATCAGCTGCAGAATGAATTTGTTGTGTCTGAGACCTCAGTTTAGGGTTTGATCTGGCAGACCTGAGGGGCTCTGGATGTCCTCAGTGAGGGGAGACTGAGTGCTTTGTGCTGTGCCATGGGACACTCAGCAGAAGTCAGTGATGCCAGCAGCCACCCCTGCCACCTGTCCCTTGTCCCCAAGGGCTGTCAGCCCCTCCCTGTGCTGCTCTGCTTGCTGAGGACCTGGCTGTGCTATTGCAGGTTGGAAATAGAGAAGGTGTGGGTGGGGAAGATCCTCTCTGTGCAGCCCTCAGCCTTTTCACAGCTTCTCTCATGTGCTCTTTTCTGGCCTCTTGTTTCTTGGTTTGGTGTCTTCTGTGCCTACTCCAAGTCCATCAAATTGAAAAAGGGAGACAAAAGCCCAGATTGTGCTGCAGCAGTGACTGGAAACCCTCCATGGGGTGTTTGTGGATACATTATCAGGCTCTGCATAGGTAAAAGCAGTGAAGCAGTAGAATTATGGAATGGTC